AGATCTAGGCACAGATAGCATGGTGCACTAATGAGTGACTTTCAACCCCAAATCCACTGATTGCTGTCCAGCAGAGTCTGGATTGTCCCATGATGTCAGAAAACTTGGCCATTTTCCCCCAGTGCTGCCTCCAGGTTTACAAACGAACCATCCCTCAGCCAAACCATTTCATCCTGCTGCTGACAAGGTGGGACTTTAAGCTCCCTGGGAATGTCTCAAATCTGGTCTTAGAGGACATTTTGTCCCAAATGTAATCCACACTCCACTTTATTTTTTTTTGACAGCCATACATCACAACGGATGGCCACAGGAAAACTGAGGGAATTGTAAGGATGGACATTAGCCGTATAATTAAATTAGCTCGACTGGGAGTAAGTTTGCTCAGACTTTTGTTTCTTTTTAAGGTCATGTCAAGAGAACTTTGAAAAAAAAGTTACACTGTATGAAATATTTTATTTGGAAATGTAGAAGCTCATCAGGTAGAACATCTTTAGTTAATTATATCCAGTCGCAGGGCAGCACTTAAGTTTAAAAGGAATGTGGGGACCTTTAAATGTTTCAATGTGTGACAAACCTTTCCTCTGACATTTTTAACTGGATGTTCTCCCACATGTTTGGGCTTATTTCCAGCTCTTACGATTGCGCCAGAAATAAAAATGACAGCTGTTTTCCTCTGAGATAGTGTCTCTTCTGCAAAGACCTTTTAGTGAATCTTCTCTGGCTGCTCTTAATTTGAACATAGGTGTTGGAAAATAACAAAATTCTGCACTGAGGTAATTGCTTAATGGGGTGTTTGGCCAATGTGTTTGGCTTTATCTCCCACACCTGTTACAGACCACAAACACAGCTACCCTCAACCTCAAAAGACAAAGAGATGAGGCTTAAGTGATCTTTGCTCAGAAGGACAGCAGGTACAGCAGGGCCATTTCTCTTCCTGCAGAATGGCCTGAATCCACCCGTGCCTTTGCTTAAGAAGCGCATATCACAGAACAACACCTGGTTTGACAAAGTTGGCGAAGAAAAGTTAAAAAAACATCTGAGGGAATTGTTAACTGTCAGATGAACCACAAATAACAGAGACAAACGAAGAATTTGAGATTTATCTTCTCTGAGTCTAAAATTACCAGAAAAGATGCCGAGGGAGACGTCTTTGCCATCGACGTGCAGTTTTACTTCTATTAAAGGCCGCTTTGCTGTTACTGCTCTCAGAGCTCCTTTCCAGAAGAATGCCAGAACCATGAAAACAACAGTCCTTTGAAATCCTCATAACTAATTTAACAGAGCTGCAGAGGTGAAAAAGAAGTCATTTAACAAACTTTTTTTTTTCCCCTCACAAACCGAGTGGTAAAGAAAATATATGAATTGTTTTGACTGGCCTTTCTGCCTGCACACCAATACAATGGAAGTGAAATCAATGTGTGGTGTTCACTGCAGCAGTTACACAAATGAGCATCAAGGGAAACATCCCATCCAGAAATAGTTTTTCTTTGACGCTAGCTAGACCACAAAACATTTCTTTGGGAGAGTAGTTCCACTGAACTTTGAGATTTTTTTTTAATGTTCAGTATATTTCCATTCACAAATAGTAAAGCAGCGCAGACATATCTGATATGAATATCTCAAGCACCTGGGAAAAAACATCTCAGTGGGGATTTATGCACCTGAAATGGATCAAAGTGGATCCCGTGGTGGGATTATAAAAAAACAAAACAAAACAAAAATGCATTCTTATGTTTCGTTTTTATAATTTTTATAATTTTATTTTATATTTGCCTGATTTCATTTTTAAAATTAATATTCCATTTTTCATATCCTTGCATTTGCATTTAGAATTCTTAAAACTTAACTTCCCCTCCCTGACCCTGGCTCTGCTTGAAGTCTCTTCCTGTTAAATGGCAGTTCTTCCTTCCCACAGTCACCAAGTACCTGCTTATAGGGTTACCTTAAAATATGAGGCAAAGCCTGAATAATCCACATGAAGATGACTGATATTGTCTCAAGGT